AGTCATCGCCAAATTCTTTACCGCCGAGGATAACATCAAGGAGGTACCCAAGGCTTTTAATACTCCTATTCTCATGCCCACTCATGAGCTAGCCTTCACGTACTCATACGGTGAGCGGGCAATTATTATCAAACCGGGAATGCCTGTGTCTACGGACAACGATGGCTTGGTTGTTAAAAGAGCTAGGACATACACACCTACGGTTGTGATAAAGAGGGTATCCTACCTCAATCTCCAGAGGGTCCAGCGCTGCGTAACCTTTCAAATATCCAGGCTACGCGAGATTACCGACAGTGCTAACAACTGTAAAGACACGCTGATTGCGGAACTCGACCGTTGCGGAGATGACACCTCCTCCAGGGACAACATATTGGGCGATCTTCGGTTGGTTCTGGAGAAGAAAGGCCTGTGGTCACCGGCGCTTAATCAATTATTGTTGGAGCTGCTGTCCATGTATAACGATTACCGACAGTGCTAACAACTGTAAAGACACGCTGATTGCGGAACTCGACCGTTGCGGAGATGACACCTCCTCCAGGGACAACATATTGGGCGATCTTCGGTTGGTTCTGGAGAAGAAAGGCCTGTGGTCACCGGCGCTTAATCAATTATTGTTGGAGCTGCTGTCCCTGTATAATCACGAGTACCTTTCCTTTGTGCGGAGCACCATGGAGGATCAGAACAGCCATGCATAGGGCCTTTTTTCGAAATAAAAAAAAACTGTACGCTTGACATTTCTTGCAAAATGTGTAAGAATAATATATTACTGTAAAGACACGCTGATTGCGGAACTCGACCGTTGCGGAGATGACACCTCCTCCAGGGACAACATATTGGGCGATCTTCGGTTGGTTCTGGAGAAGAAAGGCCTGTGGTCACCGGCGCTTAATCAATTATTGTTGGAGCTGCTGTCCATGTATAACCACGAGTACCTTTCCTTTGTGCGGAGCACCATGGAGGACCAGAACAGCCATGCATAGGGCCTTTTTTCGTAATAAAACTGTACGCTTGATGTTTCTTGCAAAATGTGTATAATATATTTTTATTTAAAAAAACTGTTTTTTTTTGTTTCCTACACCTCCATCACCCCCCATATCTTCTCAATAGTTTATAAAGCATTAAACGTATTCCGCTGTACGTTGTTATTCGACGTCGCCGTACACCTGCAGGGATTTTCACTTCGCCGAGATAAAGACGTTCTTCAAAGACGATCTGAACCCTGATTACATCATTGTTCGGAGAATGTCACGCGGCTTGGGAAACGGGCTGAATCGGGGACCAGACCTTACCAATTAATCAGGATACGTTTTTACGACTTAAAGCAGATCCGCGTCAAGAATACGGTAATAATCGAAAATGTATCATGTGCTACAGCTTTATAATATACATTATGTGTCTTACAAAATACGGTGTTCTATTTTACCACGGGTACACGTATCTCCTTAGGATAATTAAAAAAAGTTACCGACCGGCGGTCAATGCATAATTACCGACCGTAATAAGCCCCTGGGGGCATGCAACGCCGCTGCTACTGACAAGGAAATCCCCCCAACCCGACCCCACCGATTTCAATAATTTTTTGATATGTTGTAG